AGACAAAAGAAAAACTTATCTTAACCGACGCGTTTCGTCCTCTGATGGACTTTATCAAATAAGTGTTTATAAATAAAAGTAAAATCTAAAATATTTTTTTTTAAATTTAAGATACGCTCATAAATATTCAGCAGGTAAAATGAAAAGTCGAAATAAATTATGGAGGACGCTAATTGACATGATTTAATGCTTAATAAACGAAACTGAGTAGATAATTTCGTTGTTGAATTTTCTTTTATGCAATTGATATTTTAATTATTTTATTATGGAATAAATTAATGTATTATAAATTTTGTAGATAATAGGAGGTTATGAAATTATCCGTTTTCTTTTAATTTTTAACATTATTAGTGCTAATGTAAATTGGCTGGAATGGAAATATTTGAAAAGTCAGGACACGCAGATTTATATGATAAGTTTCATTATACATATATATATATATATATATATATATATATATATATGTGTGTGTGCGTGTGTGTGTGTGTGTGTGTGTGTGTTTATATATATCATTTACCTTGATAAAGTCAGTCTGATGACGAAACGTTTCGGCTAAAAGTAAGTATAGTTTTCCTCTTGACTTTTCATATATATATATATATATATATATATATATATATATATATATATATATATATATATATATATATATATATATATATATATATATATATATATATATATATATATATATATATATATATATATCCTAAAGAGCCAGGAACAACCTACCTAGTTTCAGGGTAATCTGACCAATCGTGTACTAGTACTAGTATATATATATATATATATATATATATATATATATATATATATATATATATATATATATATATATGAATATGATTTCCGTTGAACTATGTCCCATATCCAATCTATGGCCAAAAGTACCACACATTTGACTGTTTTAAGCTTGGTCTGATTGGATACAAAGTTTGATTTGGTCAGGTTTGTAATATAAAATAAACAAGATCTTACATATCTATCATCATATGAAATAATAATACATTTTTAAAATTTAGATAAGAAAGAATTATATATTGTGAAACCAATTTAGTGAAGTAGTAACATTTGGGCTGATGTCACTTTTAGTCATTTTTTTTCAGGTATACGCTATGTCAAATCTTATTATACAATTCAAATCTTTTTTTGACAATAAAACTGGTATTAACCAACCCTATTTAGTGTACTAGCATAGTGGGTGTCTTACCCCAAATCATACCAAAATAAGTTTTGTAACAGCATCCTTCCGGGAAGGCTGCTGTAAGACTGACCACAGATGATTTCCTGGTTACCGAGTGATGATCCGACCGACATGCGAACCCGTGCCCGACAAAATTTCACCTGGGTTTGCAAACGTAATAAAGAATCGTATCTCAGGGAGTTATATAAATGTTCATTCCAAATGGCTGATGGGCAATCTCTCTCATATATCCTAGATAAAAATTTACAGTAGACGTTTCGGACGGGGGTGGTGGTTATGAGCTCACCTACGCGCAGTGGTTGATGTAGTAAATTTAACAATTCATTTTATTTTAATATATATTGTTAAATCTGTGTAAGCATATTCCAAATCGTTAGTAAATTTTTATGAATCTATTACCAGTGTGTACAAGTATACATCGAAAAATATAGAGCCTGGCAGCCGATCTATCGTTCTATCTCCAACAAGTAAATAGCGGGAAAACTAACATTCAATGCTTCAAAAACCAAGCTAGTAAGTTTTTATCATCACTGACAACAAAAAAACATCAAATTGACAAAATCCACAATGAATAGTCGCTCCCTCGATGTAGTTCTTTGCTTTAAGCGTCTTCTGAGAGACAATTTTTTTATCATATCATCTCAAGGTGTCTGAATAATCGAGGAAGTAATGTGTTTTTCCTATTTATGTGAGTTGAATTTTGTCCAATTATTGTTTCAGAATTACGAATCAATCTTGCGCTGGAACATTAATGGTTTTTGCAACTGACGTTGCAGTATGGTAATCGCATTATTATCCGTTTCCTTATAAGGAAACAGTCAGCATTCATGGACTGAGCAGCCAGTGCCACTGTCTGTTAAAATTTATAAAATCTTTCTCTTAAATGTTTAGGAAAATAGTTTTCTCGAGTCCAGTAGCTGTTATTTCCCTTTCCAGTATTGACGGGAGTTTCCTTCCCAAGCTTTTATTAGAAGCAGTGTGAACCGTCAACATTTTATTATGCCATTAATTAGTTTCTCTACGCGTTACATGTTGAAAGTCCTCAAAATAACTTTCAGTTTGTTGTTAACTGGGGCAAAGGATGGCTTGTTAATTTCAACACCTCCAAAATTAAACTGCTCTCTATTAATCATCTGAGAGAACCCTTTTCTGTCTTCTATCAGCATGGCCAACGCTAACCCACAGGAGAGTGACTCGTTCAGCTAATGTTTTCGGCTGACATGAAGTTGAAAGTCTATACTGAATCCATTGCTGGATCAGCAAATAAGTTGTTCGTTCATTGTGTCGTGCTACAAATTTTTTCTCTACAGAATCTAACCTATATATTCATTGTGAAAATATGTATGTCGAGCATAAACGTAATATCACTTCTTTTTTTTTTTTTACTCAGCGAAACTATATACTCAGCCTTTTAAACATCGGCCCTGGAATTTTTTCACGAATGTTGCGAAATATAACACGACACGCCCTCTCTCAGTTCAGCAAATTTTCTCGTTCTTTGAAATTGCCGAACAGTTGAAGGATTAAATAGACTTTACGGCAAAATCTCAAATGACATTCTTCTCGAAGAGTTATATCCTAAAACTTTTACTAAAATTATTTGGTTGTTAAGGCTTAGTCTGGTTTGGTTTGTTTTGATTTACGGTATATCAACCTCAATGGGTTATTTAATGCCGACAAGATTTTTATTGCTGATAAATTTTTTTAATGTATTATTCGTAATAATTTTTCCTCAAAAATGTATTGCTGTTATTAAAATCTATTTTTACACTTTCATAGTGTTTTGATATCAGTTTGGGTGTTGACTATTTACCCATAGCTGGGACCCTAACAGGTTCTAACGCTCCTAGTCAAAATGGACCTGGGAACACCAGCAATTAACAGGTGATTCCATGCTCCTCCAGACTTCCTGATCAGAGGCCTTGCTTGGATGTAGTTTATTGTTATACCGAGGACAGGGTTAGCAAGGCAAGCGGAGCAAAATGAAACAGTGAGGAACCTACCTAAGAAGCTTCAGTAAATGGATGGCAGAACACGGTGTCGGGGAAGGTGAAATGATAAATCTTACTAAGAGCCACAAAGATAGAGGAGGGCCATGAATGAATGCTCACGTTCTGAAGAGACGTAGTGCATTGTATCGAATTTATTGTGTTAATAAAACCGTTATTTTCCTGATGAAGTTCTTTCTAGGAAAAAGAAACGCGTCAGTAAGAAGGTTTTTCTGTCTGTTCATTCATTATTATATATATATATATATATATATATATATATATATATATATATATATATATATATATATATATATATATATATGTGAAAAAGTATATAAATATAAATAAATATAAGTATGTATAGTTATTTATATATTATATGCGCGGTACTTATTAGAAAGCGCTCATATATATATGTATATGTATGTATGTATATTTTGAATGAATGTTCAAATGTATTTAAATAAACATTGGCTCGTATAATTCTATAGATACAAGTAATATCATTTTCTGCATTAATATAAGAAATTATGTGTGCATCTAAGTCATTTGAACAGATAAGGGTGTAGATATCTTTATTTTTTTTTTTTATTTTTTGGCATATGCTTCGTGGAGCTCTACTTGTTCACACCAACCTGTTTATCGATACGCCCAGGTTTTTCCCAGCGCTCCTTCGTCGGAAACGTTCATTCATCACAAAGAAGTAAATAAAAATAACTAATAAAATGAAAAGCTATATATATATATATATATATATATATATATATATATATATATATATATATATATATATATATATATATATATATATATATATATTCTCTTACTCTCAGTTACTGTATGCCGAACCGTTTACTTGTTGTTGTTATTATTATTATTTGTTTCTTCGTCTCTTCCTTTGTATTTTCCTTTATTTCGTTTTTTGCTTTCTTCTTATGTTTGATCTTATATTCGCATTAACCATGAAAATTGCCTCCGCCATTGCTTCACGCCTAGTCTTGCACCCGTCGACCACCCCGCCGTCATTTGCGTTAATTAATAATTTGCTGTATGCAAACTGTGAAGGCGTCTGTCTGTCCATACGATTGCAAATGAAATAAATGAGTTATCATTGGAGAAAAATAAAAAAGAACGAGAGAAAAGAAAAATAAGAAAAAAAGAAAAGAAATCTGAAATGCGCATGCGCTCTGTCTCTCACAAGGCATCGGTAAAGCAATTGTATTCTAATTGTAACTTTTTGTTATATCGCTATCAAATATGGAACTGTTTATAAGATTCTAACAACAGTGGGAATCATTCGGTTTAGACAGGCAACTCCATAAGCAGGCTAACAACTGCATTTTTGCGTACTAAATATAAGTTCCGGCGCGATCAAATTAATTCCTTCAATTTCTGCTTTAGGCGTAGTGCTTATTTGCTACATCATTCTTATTATTTTTCAAATATTTTTCTCTACAGACGTAAGAACACATGATTTCTTAAGCGTATTTCAGCCGGAAAGATTATTTTGTAAAATTCCCACCGGCATTACTGTTTCAAACGGCACTTGTATTTAGTACAAAGAACAGTGAGTTCAGAAAAGGCTGCCCTTATTTTGTGACCTTATGCCAGACCCTTATTTGTACCATTTAGTTGAATGTGACCCCTCGTAAAAAACGTAGGGATGTTTGTTTTTTGAATAATTCTATAAATTAGACAATCCTATATCAGAATCGAAAAATATTAGTTTTTTTTAATCAAAATCAAGAATTGAGGTCCTGTTCATAATATAAAAAAAAATTCCAAACCCATCTCTGTGTTAGCTG